AATTTCGGACCAAGTCCCCTTAATATACTTGGCCGATGGGGATGATGTGATGAGGTGTTTGTGGCGTGGCCATCCCCTCCTTCTCACACTTGTTTGTACCTTATAAATTGGTTAATGACTAAGCTCTCTTATGAATTGCCACATGTCTCAACAATTTGAGGAGGGAATTGTTTTCCTTAAGATGAAGGAAGCTTACGGCCATTTGCAAAATGGTTACTCTACTTACGGCTTTTTGGCCTTAATTGTGATTAATTGCTAATTAACCACTAACTTTATGTTTAATTATTAATTAAACATAATACTTAATTACCAAAATTATTCCGAACGTAAACGGTACGTCGAAAATCAATTTCGGTAATTCCGACTGAACTTAATTAATTCCGAAAATAATAAACGATAACGTTACTATATCGGAATTAAACATAATTTATACCGATTAAAATATCGGGGTATTACATGCCTTGTGCATGGTCTCGAGCCTCTCCAGTCGTACCTTGGCCGCGAGATCAAATTTCAGGCCTTCGATAAATGCCCCTACCAACGCACTCTCGGGCCATCCTCGAACGCGGTAGGCTAGCCTTTTAAACTCCTTCTAGTAATCTTGTACGCTACCCGTCTGCCGAATCTGCGACAGCATCTCATCATGGTTGGGATAGTTCGAATTCCCAAAGCGTGTTAAGAGTTCGCGCTCAAAATTCCACCATTGGATCGGCTCCTGCCGCGCACGGTAGACGCTCGAGAGCCATTGCCACCATACATTTGCCTCACCGTACAGATAGTACGTGGCATAGCGAACCCAGTCTCGCACTGCATCTCATTGAGCTTGAAATACTGCACTGCATTGTTAAGCCACGCGTCGGGGTCGGCTCTGTGAACGTCGAGAGCACGAGCCTAGGCTTGTCGACACGCGGTTGGTCCTGGATGTTTGAAACTTGTGACCGGTGTTCATACTCTTCCTTCTACTCATATCCGTATTCGATGTGGTTTCGTTCGTATGCGTGCCTTGGTTTTTCGCGCCTGGGTGGTGGTTGTAATATCCCATTCAGTTATTAGTAAAAAGTATCAGTTTATTTCCAAGATGGAGCTATTTTCAGTTAAAAAGTTCAAAATTTTAAGCTTTTCAAGTCACACGAGTCGTGCGGCTCAATGTACTGTTCAAATCTGCTCTCGGCATAGTCACACGACCCGTCACACGAGTCGTGTGAGGTCACACGACCTGTGTGACCGACAGAAATTTCAGATTTTTATGATTTGAGTTTGGTGCCAACTATAGTTCATTTTAAGCATTTAATTTAAGTATGCATGATTTCTACAAGTTAGAAATTGATATGTTTATGATGATTAAGTTTTATAAGTTTTAATTATTTATTTTGTTGATTTCTTCACTCCATTATATTATATTCAAAGTTTTTGCCTATAAATAGTGGGTTTAAAATCTGAATTTTTACACCAAGAAATATTTCAAAATTATATAAGTTCATTTGAGAGAGTGAGTGGTGGAATTCTAGTAAAGTGAAGATTTTTGGGGTGAAGAATCAATGTTTTCAAGTTCAAGTTCTAGCAAGAATGAGGTAATTACTTATCTTAAATTCATGTTTTAGATGTTAAGTAGTTATTAGCATGTATGTTAATGAATTTGAAGTTGAGATTATAATTGATTTATGAATTCAATGAGTTTAAGTTGTAATAAGATCAATTATAAAGTATATGTGTTCATTGATATTAGATTATCCAATAAAGTATGATTTGGATAAGTAATTCTTATGTAAATGAGGAGTACATAAGAACAAGAATTGAGTTATTTGGCATGTTATAACTTGAGATAAAGATTTTGAAGTTAGTATGCAAGTTGAATTTCATGATATTAAGTTGAGAAATGAATGTGTTATTATGATTAGATGGCATATATGATGTATTTCATGTTAAAGTTTTTAAGAGTAATTGATATGGAATTCGCATATTATTGATGATGAGTAAAGTGACCAAGTTTTAGTGTAATATGTTGAGAATACAATTTTAATATAAATTGTTTCAAGTCTTGCATATTAATGTTATGATTTGATGTTATGATTTGTATGTATGAGAATTTAGTTATAATTTTCATTACCAAGCAAGTTTAAGATAGGTTTAGTAGTTTATGAATCATGTAATTGATGTTGATAAAAGTTAAGCATATGTTTGAATTTATGTATGTGAAATTTAGTTATTTTCACTTACAAGTTATTTTAGTAAAATTTGAGAATATGTCAATGTTTTAGATTTTAAAGACATGATTTATATGAATTAATTTGATGGCCTTGAGTAAAAGTTTGAGAAGTTAAGTTGTTTGATGCATTAGTGTTCATTTGAACTATAACAGGCCTATTGAACCTCTTTAAGATTAGAATAAGTTATCAATTAGATTTAAGAATCTCAGCATCCTATTGAGAATACTCCGAGCATAGTACTTAGTATATTTGTCTATATTTTTATGTAGTTGCAGATACAACTACCAGTACAACACTTACGATTTTCAAAGGTTTTCAAGAAGAAAAGGTGGGGACCCAGCCTAGGTATTACATTGAGTATAATAGCTATTATCATGTCAAAGGTATGTATATGAGTTATCCGCTTTGGGTGGAGGCGCAGTAGCCTTAATATTCCATCCCGAGTTCTGGTGGAGGCGCAGTAGCCTTAATATGCCATCAGAGTGTGCACACGGTTAAGGGACCAAGTGTCCAAAAGTTTAAGTTCAAGTTACCGGTCCAAGTGTCCGGGAGATCAAGTTTAAGATTATATATACCCGCGATCATGATATTGATATTATTATTACTGTTTACTTTAGTATGTGTTTTTACGGAGTACAGTTGATTAGTACTCACGCCCCACTATTATCATTTTCAGGTAACAGGGTCGGTGCGGAGGTGTGAGATCAGCTATGGTGGTGTGGATTGAGGATTTGGTTCATTTGTTATATTGTGGACTTTTAATAAGGTTTCGGTTTTTATTATACTATGCTTGTATGATTTCCGCTACGTCTTTCAGATATTGAACATGTGTGACAGTATTTTCAGATTTAAAAGATTTATCGAGTTCAATTTTCATACATGTTTGATAATTAAAATCTATTTATTTGTTAGACTAAGTTTTGGAGAAAATAGATTTTAAAGAAGATAAGTTTTTAGTAGCATCCCGAGCTAAGTTAAAAAGATTTCGAAAAATTTATAAGCACTTTCGAAGAAAAAGTTGGAAAAATGTACTCTGATAAGCGGGGTGTTACAGTTGGTATCAGAGCTAAATTCTAATTGCTCTGTATACTAAAAGTTTAAGTTCCAGAAAGGAAGTTTCAGAAAAAGATTTTCAGGAAAAACCGACCACACCACACTCACACCTCGCCGACTACCAGGTAAGTGCTGTTAAAAGTTTTTACAAAAGTTTGTTTGTTTTAAATATATGCAAATTACTAAGTCTTTGCTCAATAGGATTCAGACATCCGAACCTTAGAAATCAGAATAAATGCCTAGATCGGTATCAAGAATTCATAGCAGTATCAGATATTTTAATAGCCCATCATGTTATTAATTTAATATCACGTTTAGTTCCGAAATATTTATTTTATCGATCATTATTATTCGGGAGTAATTATTAAAGTTATGACTATTAGAATTAATTTTCGAAGTCAAGTTTCGACCGAAACTATTTAAGTTCGGTTACTACTAATAATTAGAAATAATCTCTAAGTATTAGAGTTCATGTCTTTGACATTTAGTTCAGGTTTGCTCACATTAAGTTTATTGTGGAAATCGTTGCACGTAGTTCATGTTAAATGACCGAGGATGGTGCAAATTGCACGAGTAATGCGTGCGCTAACTAGGTTTAGCATCAATCATTCATTAGCTTAACATGATCAAGTTTAGCATGTTATTAGATTTAAGCCATCTATTACCGAAATTTAGTGAGAAAATGTCATGTGAACTCTCATTATTTCAAGTGATGACTAAGCCTTGTCCTTGAAGGCCACATGTAGCATGACTAAGCAAATTAAAGTACACCTCATGTGCTAGGCTTGTGGCAAGTGGTGAAATATGATTGGCCAAAGGCATTTTCACCCTTCTTCACTATTTCGGCCACCCATTTTATATATGGTGTGGGAGAAATTTTACTTTATTCTTAACCTGAGCACTCAGCAAAGTCAAGAGAGAGATTACCCTATAAATAGCATAAGTTAAGTGAGATTAAGCTATATTTTACACACACGCACTTGGAGACAAAGAAGCACACACGCACGCGCACGCAAGGTCCATTTGCAAGGAGTTACGCATCATTGATCGAGATTTCGAGGAGGTAAGCACCAGCTAACCCTCTCTTAATGTTAGTAAGATCATGTTAGGGTCATAATATTCAGTTAAGTCCGACAATTCATGAGGAAGTTCAAGTCATGCTCGGTTAGGCTATGTTAAGCCATGACCGAGTGAAGTTCAGTTTTTATTCGTTATCTCCCGTGCAATTCATAGTTATTCGATCGTTATATGTAATTTCATGTTCAGTTAGTTCATAAGTGACGAGATAATTTCATGTTCGGTTGAAGAATCGGCTTAAAGCCGTAGGCGGCGCATGGTGCGCACGCCATCGGCCATAGTAGTTCATTGAGCCAAAGTTCATGATTTTGAGCAAAACGGAGTATATTTGATCATGTTATGTTTAATCATGTTGAATCATGTTGGAGTTGCCGGAAGAAGTTGTCGGACGGCCGGTAAGGATCGGTCGTGGTCGCCATGCCCGCACGCTGTGGGTAGTGCACGCCGGCAGTCAAAC